GGAGGAAGAGGAGGTGAAGGAGGCGGATGGGTGGCCTTTTTTGTCTTGAAATGGGGCAGGTGCCGTTGTCACGGATGGAAGGGGAGGGGTCTGTGCGATAGTGAAGAGGAGCAGGAGGAGGAGGAGGAGGAGGAGGAGTGGGAGGAGAGGAGCAGCAGGAGGAGGAGGAGGACGAGGGAGGAGGTATCATGGAAGCGGGAAGAAATAGGTAGAAGAGAGGAGGTAGGAGGGAGGAGGGAGTAGGGAGGAGGTGATGATGATGATGATGATGATGATGATGATGATGATGATGATGATGATGATGAAGCTGATGCTGATGCTGATGCTGATGCTGATGCTGATGCTGATGCTGATGCTGATGCTGATGGTGATGATGATGATGGTGATGGTGATGATGCTGATGATGTTAATGCTGGTGACGATGATGATGACGATGATGATGATGATGATGCTGATGATGATGATGATGATGATGATGATGAGGAGGAGGAGGAGGAGGATGAAGGAGTAGCAGAAGGACGCGGAGATGGCGAATGATGATGATGATGATGATGATGATGATGATGATGATGATGATGAGGAGGAGGAGGAGGAGGAGGAGGAGGAGGAGGAGGAGGGTGTGATTGGGGGAGGGATGATGATGCTTATGCTGATGCTGCTGCTGCTGCTGATGATGATGATGATGATGATGATGCTGCTGATGCTGTTGATGGTGATGATGATAATGAGGAGGAGGATGAGGAGGAGGAGCATGGAGAGGAGTCAGGTGCCCTCGACCGGGTAAGCCCTCGTGGCGGTGCTTGAGGCCAGGCAGGGTCTCATGGAGGTGAAGACCCAGTTGGCCAAGGCCAAGAAGCGCGCGGTGGAACAGCTGGGGACGACCGTCAAGCTTGACCTGCAGACTTTCGTCAACCAGCCCATCGAGACGTTCAGGTCCTCGGATCCCAATGAGGCGAACGATCTTGCCTGACGGCGGCGGCATCCAGATCCAGTCGCCCGCAGGTGCGGCCCGCTTCCCACTGCTTAGGGCTCCGAGCGGACACCTGTTGGTGGTCATCGACAACTTCGAGAGGGTTGTGCAAGCCGCGGGCAGCGTGCCCGGCCGTAGCGTTCAGCTGCTCGCCCACACCGACGAGGCGGAGAGGAAGACGGAGGACACGACACATGCAGCTGCCCTTCCTGTCAGGAGGTTGAGCAGCGATCGGCCTTCGGCTCTCGACGAGTTGAGGCCCCTTCAAGGGGCGCCCCAGCTAACTCCCCTTGCCGGGGACCAACGTCGCATACCAACCGCGCTCTAGTGACAGAGTTCGTGCATGCAGGCGCCAGAGCTCTCAAGCAACACGTGCGGCAGATACGAGCGTTTTCTCCCCAGTTCTGCGCGTGCCTCAGTGTAGTCTCCCGACAGGAACACAACATTGTTTTGATTATGACGCCCCCTGACCACAAGTATCATTGGACTACATGCAATCGTGCCCGAAATGTACGGCATCAGCTACTCCTGACGCGCCGGAGGCACAACGTATCCTGTGTTGCAACTGATGGCTGGACTGCGGTTCGTCCTCCCGAACAGGTCCCCGGGCTGATTTCTTAGGCAAAGCGTATCAAGGCGGAAATACTGACACAATTCCACGCGCGATTGGTCGCGCACCTGGGTTTTGCCAGAGCAGCGCCTGCTCTGGCAGAGACAAAGTTTTAGGGCGCCACGAGCACACCAGCTGACCTGCTTGTCGAGCAGGCCTCGGCAGGTTCGTCGGGCAGCCAGCACTCCTAACCCCGGATTGTTCGTCAGCCCGACAGATACATGCACATATGCAGACACAACATTCAAGCACTACGTATGCGTTAGTGGTGCTATTTTTTTCCAGGCGCGCTCGCTTTGTCAAGGCCTCAGGCATGATGCAGATCGCAATACAACCGGGTGCAACAAGATAAGGCACACATGATGCGTCAGGGCGACAGACGCACAAACCGAAACAAGCCATCTAACGCGCGTGGAGTCTCATTTGCAACAATGATCCAGATGGGGCTAAAAACATCGCAACGAAGGAGCATGTTCGGATCTCTGGTTTCAGCAAGAGCACCGCGACGTGCGTCCACGCGTTGCCCCAGAAGTCCCTCTTTACGCCGGCCAAGACTGCCAGCCGAACGCCCCAAGACGGTAGAAGATGCGTCCGACGACATCGGCGACGACCCCGTTTGGCCTCGGCATGGAGGAGCAATTCTAACGGCTGTTCCAGGACGCTAAAAGTGAAAGCGCCGGGGAGTTCCTAGTCGAGCGCCTGTCGGAGTCGCGCGTAGCAGGGGCCGTCGTTAGT